TTCCTCTGCAGCCTCCACGTTCTGTGTGCAGTGAGAGCTGCCCTCCAGGCACCAGACGAGCCACAAAGAAGGGTCTTCCTGTCTGTTGTTTTGACTGCCTGCCTTGTGGAGATGGAGAGATTTCTAATGTAACAGGTTGGCGGATGTTTATCTTTCTGTGTAAAGATCCTTTTCCATTCTCATAAATTAAACACTCTGCTTTTTTTCTTTAAAACAGATGCTATTGAGTGCACAAAGTGCCCAGAAGAGTTTTGGTCAAATCCAGAAAAAGACCAGTGTGTCCCAAAAGAAGTTGAATTCTTATCCTATGAGGACCCTCTGGGCATTTCTCTGACCACTGCTTCTCTGCTTGGCACCTGCATCTGTGTTCTAGTGTTGGTCATCTTCGCTCTCCATCACAACACTCCAATAGTTCGAGCCAACAACTCAGAGCTGAGCTTTCTTCTGCTGCTCTCACTCAAACTGTGTTTCCTGTGTGTGCTGCTGTTCATTGGTCGGCCACAGTTATGGACGTGTCAGTTGAGACATGTTGTGTTTGGCATTAGCTTTGTGCTGTGCATCTCCAGTATCCTGGTCAAGACGATGGTGGTGATTGCTGTGTTTAAATCATCTCGACCGGAGGGGAAAGAATTGATGAAATGGTTTGGAGCAGCCCAACAGAGATGCACTGTTTTAGTCCTTACTGCCCTCCAGGTTGTAATATGTGCAGTCTGGCTTTCAAATTCCTCTCCAGCCCCCCATAAAAACAGCCAGTACATCCACTCTGTGATTGTCTTTGAATGTGCCGTTGGGTCAGTGGCTGGTTTCTCTCTGCTGCTGGGCTACATCGGACTGTTGGCAGCAGTTAGTTTCCTGTTAGCTTTCCTGGCAAGGAATCTTCCAGATCATTTTAATGAAGCAAAGTTCATCACTTTTAGCATGTTGATCTTCTGTGCCGTGTGGATCGCCTTTGTTCCAGCGTATGTGAGCTCTCCTGGGAAATATTCAGTGGCTGTGGAGATTTTTGCAATCCTGGCGTCCAGTTTTGGTTTACTAGGGGCTATTTTTGCCCCAAAATGCTACATTATCCTTTTACATCCAGAGAGAAACACTAAAAAAGCCATAATGGGACGTTAAGTAAAATATGTGAATTAATTTTTGGTGTCTCCTTAAATCATTCATACCAGGGGAACCAACCCCAAACATTCACCACAAACACTCATCCTCATGGCTAAAAATAAAAGATTCATGACTTTGAATTTTTTAGCCTGTAGTTGTGAACTAGAGACCACAATTAATGGTTGTTTCGTCATGTTACTTAATGGAAAATAGCCCAACCCTTGGACAGTGCCAACCATGTTCATATTCAACCCCAAATGTACAAAAAAAAAACACATATATGATTTCCTTAATACAATCCTCGTAACTATTTGTACTAACACTTTGTATGTAAAATTACTCGCTTACCAAAGTTGTGTAATATATATATATATATTACATATTAGGGGTGTAACAATATACTCTGCTCACAATACGGTGTATATCACGAAATACTGTCCATGATACAATATTTAGATATCATAATATTTTACAGCACAAATAAATGTATAAATTTTTAAAAATATTTATTTTACCATCGGTGAAAAAATTGTATTTAAAAGATTTTGAGACCCCAAAGCTAAAAAGGCTAGAGCCTTGTTTGATTTGTATTAGAGCTTTTAATATCAAACCACCAGGGGGCAGTGCTAACGTTTGCAAGAAGTCATTTCTTTAACCCTAAGTGATGGAGAGAGCTCATTTTATAACATTTAGTTTGTGATTAAGGTATAATTGTTCCCTAGTAAAAATTAAATAAAAAATTACAAGGTAAAGAAGTTTCAGAAGTGACTAGAAAACACCTTCACTCCAAGAAGTAAATGCAGTTCAGGTCCTAGATAAAATCTCCCAGTATTTCGACAATACCTATTGTGGCAATATTTTCCACCTCTCATATTAACTGAATGAACAACTGTTCAAATTTTAGGTAAATATTGCTAAATTCATTTTAATTTTTTAAATAAATTGTGTATAAACTTGTTTTTTTTTTTGCATGTTCAATAAAAATGCTATTTATTGAGGCATTCGATTTAAATACATGTACGCATGGCTATATGCACTCAAATCCTACAGGCATTCTATTAAATATCTTGAGTCAATCAATTCAAACGTGTTTATGTGATTACTTGGGTAGAGAAACTGAGTGCGTTTTCTCTAGTTTGTAAATTGCTCCAAAAAATTATAATGTATTATAATGTTGCATTGTACATTACTGTTTGCATCAATAAACAAAAAGAGATTTGATGTGACCACTTCAAGAAACTGGTAGGTTGTACCAAATATCTTGCCAAATTGATGACCTATCTTTTGTGGATGTAGGCTTTCATTTTTTTTTTTTTTTTGTCTGTAGACAAACAAAAAATTAACAGGGGGTCAAATACTTATTTCTCCAACCAAACCACTCAGAATATTTCAAATGATGTTTATTCTTTAAAGTCGATCCTACTGTATTGACTTAACCACATTTAGAGTTGATACACAATTAAATATTTTCCTTTTTAATTATTGCATAATGTATCAGTACATTTTCATTGTCTGTGTGGGGAGGGAATGAAAGTGACGCCCCGAGTTCTAGAGACACCCACTTAGCATCTGTTTAATTTAAAACACCCTGTTCAGCTTTTATCACAATAGAGTGGATCAAAAAGAAGAGAGAGAGAGCCCTCGCGCGCGAGACAGAGACAGAGACAGAGAGATGCTGATCACTCCGTACATTTCACTGAGTCTGCTCTTTCATTTGATCTCATCAGATTCGCCGCTCATTCCTGGCAGATGTCAGCTCCGGGGACACTTCAGATTGAATGGAATGTATCAGGATGGAGATTTCATTCTCGGTGGCCTTTTTCACATGCACTTTTTCACCCTGTTCCCAGAGCTGAGCTTCAAAACAGAGCCAACACCACCTTCTTGTGAAAAGTGAGCGACATTGTATGGATTCTTAAACGGGAAGCAGATGTTTGAGTTCCAAATAACTCATATGACATGTGTTTAAATCGTTTTATTTTAAATGAACAGTTGAAACTCTTAATATTGGGTCTGAACGTTCCTCATGTTTTTGCTGTGCAGTGTTAGCTGTATAGAAACATGTTGATTAGCTCTACATTTGTATGTTTCTTTGTAGATGGAACATGGAAGGCTTCCAGCATGCACAGACCATGTCGTTTGCAATTGATGAAATTAATAAGAATCCGAAACTGCTCCCTAACATCACTCTTGGATACCATCTGTACGACACCTGCGTGATGCTTGGAATGGCGTTTCGGGCTGCCATGTCGCTAGCTAGTGGAGCAGAGGAGTTTTATGATGAACTGAACTGCACTGGCCCTCCTCCTGTGATGGGGATTGTTGGAGATGCCAGTTCAACTCCATCAATTGCGATTTCCAATGTCCTGGGATTGTTTCGAGTGCCTTTGGTAAGATGTGATTGAAAAATATAATAAAAAACGATGTGTGTAATTCTTTCTCTCGTTATTAGGTGAGTCATTATGCCACATGCTCCTGTTTGAGCAACAGGAAAAAGTACCCCTCTTTCTTCCGAACAATCCCTAGCGATGCCTTCCAAGTCCGGGCTATGGTTGAGATCTTGAGGCATTTCCAGTGGACCTGGGTTGGTCTTCTCTACAGTAGCGATGATTATGGTGTTTATGCTGCTCAGATGTTCCTAAAGGAAATGGAGGTGTCTGGATACTGTGTTGCTTTTTCTGAAACTCTACCCAATGACCACAACATCAGAGATATCCGCCGTGTATTGGGAGTGATTCAGGCTTCAACAGCTAAAGTGGTGGTAGTATTTGCTCTGTCCTCCTATCTGATGCCCTTGATGGAAGAGGTGTTGTTGCAGAACCTAACGGGGCGACAGTGGATCGCAAGTGAAGCCTGGGCTACCTCTCTGGAATACCATAGTCCCCGCTTTCTGCCTTTCCTAAGAGGAACAATTGGCATTGCAATTAGGCGTGGGGAGATCCAGGGGCTTCATGAACACCTCCTACGTGTATATCCGAGCAATGATCCAAGAAATACAGTGTTTAAGGTTTTCTGGGAGAATATGTTTGAGTGCAGCTTTGATGGTCCACAAAAGGACCTCAATGGTGAGCAAGTGAAAAGGGTTTGCACAGGAAAAGAAGATTTGAGTGAAACAAACACACCATACACAGATGTTTCTGGGTTGAGAGCCTCATATAATGTGTATAAAGCTGTCTACGCCCTGGCTCATGCACTTCATGACTTGCTGCAGTGTGAGGAGGAGAGAGGACCATTCAGTTGGAACACGTGTGCTACTACAAAAACCCTGAAACCCTGGCAGGTATATTGATATCTACATATGAAATTCCAAAAATACTTGTTTTTATTTGTTGAAATGTCATAACGTGCTATAATATATACTTTATAGCTAGTCCACTACTTGCAGAATGTAGACTTCACCACAACCTTTGGCGACCGGGTGTCGTTTGATAAAAATGGTGATGCTTTGCCCATCTATGACGTTTTGAACTGGCAACCAAATGTGGATGGCTCCATCACAGTGCATACGGTTGGAGTTGTAACTGAAGGAGCAACTGCAAGAATACTGCTTGTTCTGAATGAGGATGAAATATATTGGAATTCTTGGAACAAAGAGGTTAATACTATTATTATAGGCCTCTACACAGCGTGCGAATTGAGATTGGCACGAATCTTCGGCGTTTGGGGTACAGCAGATGAACTATGTGTCACACAGGGAAATGGGAAAGAAGACGACGACAGCAAAGAAATCAAAGAACATATAAATTAAATTCATAAATAAACTCATTCATAAACTCATAAATTAGGAATGTCAAGTGGTTTACTCTTTTGATGGCTGATTACATTTACATTTATGCAATTGGCAGATGTTTTATCCAATGCTACTCACATTTGAATGAATGAACATTTATTTTGTCAGTTCTTGCTCTACCTGGGATTTGAACCCACAACCTTTGCGTTGACAGACAATGCAATGCTCTCCCAACTGAGCCACAGGATAGCACATGATCCCATGGACTTCTTTGAGAAAAATGTGGATTTGTGGTGCTCTATTTCTTTCCCGTTTCCTGTGTGAAGTCGCTATGAAAATGTGGGTAGCGCCACCGAGTGGTTCTTTTACATACTACTCACATCATCAAAAGAACCAGCTTTCATTGGTTGTTCATTGAAAAACAGATCCCACATGGCAATCCGAAACTTTTTTTTGTTGTTATAACTTTTATGATGTTCTGTTGGCGCCCACGTTTTTTTGATCGTGGTGCGTTATCACAATGAACTTTGGACAGAGAATTCTGGTTGGTGTGTATTGGCCTTTAACGCTCACTCTATTTGCATATATTCAGTGTGTAAAAGCCTCTACACACCGATCTGGATGTTTGATCCGAAGTCTCATACGACAATGTGCGTTAATTGAAAACCATGAGTGCCAAAGGGACATCACACATCTGACTGAACGAGTGGAGCCACGAAAAAGAGTTTCGGATTGTAATATTAGATCTGTTTTGATGAAAGCTGGCTCTTTTGATGATGTAAAAGAGCCACTCGGTGGCACTTGTCACAGGAAAGAAATAGCGGGCCACAAAACAGCATAAACTGCTAGACATAATTTTTTTTCTTTAATTTATTCTCTGTCGTCTTCTTCTTCTGTCCGGTTTTTTATTTGTGTGGCGCAGAGGGGATCTGTTGAACCAGAAACGGCATCTTCAGGCACTGACAGCCATCAATATTTGGACCCAGAAAAAGAGCAGCCTGCTAAAAAGCAATCTGAAAAATCGTGCAAATCACAATTCATATTAGTGTGTAGAGGGTAAAGGAAAACAAGCACTGACTATAAAGTGAAGGCAAAACATTATCTTTTGTAGCCACCCAGGTCTGTGTGTAGTGAGAGCTGCCCTCCAGGCACTAGACGAGCCACAAAGAAGGGTCTTCCTGTCTGTTGTTTTGACTGCCTGCCTTGTGGAGACGGAGAGATTTCTAATGTCACAGGTAAAAATGATATTTTACCTGTAATTTAATCAAAGAGTAAATTCTCATTTGCTTTCTTCATAACCCTTTCATGTTTCTTTCGACAGATGCGACTGAGTGCACAGCGTGTCCAGAAGATTTTTGGTCAAATCCAAATAAGGATCACTGTGTCCCCAAAAAAGTAGAGTTTCTGTCATATGAGGAACCTCTGGGCATCTTTTTGACCACTGCTTCCTTACTTGGAATCTGTATCTCTGGATTTGTGATGGTTGTTTTTACCCTTCATCGACACACTCCAATAGTACGCTCAAATAACTCAGAGCTGAGCTTTCTGCTGCTGCTCTCACTCAAACTGTGTTTCCTGTGTGTGCTGCTGTTCATTGGTCGGCCACAGTTATGGACGTGTCAGTTGAGACATGTTGTGTTTGGCATTAGCTTTGTGCTGTGCATCTCCAGTATCCTGGTCAAGACGATGGTGGTAATAGCCGTGTTTAAATCCTCTCGACCGGAGGGGAAAGAATTGATGAAATGGTTTGGGGTGGTTCAACAAAGATGCACTGTTATGATTCTAACGGTTCTCCAGGTTGTGATAAGTGCAGTCTGGTTATCATTGGCATCTCCAGCCCCCCATAAAAACAACAAGTATATCCACTCTGTGATTGTCTTTGAATGTGCCGTTGGGTCAGTGGCCGGTTTCTCTCTGCTGCTGGGCTACATCGGACTGTTGGCAGCAGTTAGTTTCCTGTTAGCTTTCCTGGCAAGGAATCTTCCAGATCATTTTAATGAAGCAAAGTTCATCACTTTTAGCATGTTGATCTTCTGTGCCGTGTGGATCGCCTTTGTTCCAGCGTATGTGAGCTCTCCTGGGAAATATTCAGTGGCTGTGGAGATTTTTGCAATCCTGGCTTCCAGTTTTGGGTTACTGTTGGCCATATTTGCTCCAAAGTGCTACATTATCCTCTTGCATCCAGAAAGAAACACAAGAAATGCTATTATGAGTAGAGAAACACAAAATAAATAAAAGAAAACACATTGTGTACAACAGCACTGAGCACACACGTTATGAGTTTTTTTGGGGTTGTTTTTTATCACTTACATTGAGAAAGTAATGTCATATGACTAGACCAATGATGTCCGGTGAGGTTTGTGGCAGGTGAGGCACAGACTCATTCATCTTTACCAATACAAAGCAGTGTATTAGTGTATATCGGCATATTTCCATAGAAGGTTAGTGTTATTAATAAAATAGTGTTAGTACATAGAAGGTTAGTATATAATATAATATAATATGAGACGTTTTAAGAAATCATTACATTTGTAGCAAACACTGAATAAATAAAAGGCAAGCGTTCAACCTAGTTTGCAAGTGATTGCACCAGCGCTTCCTCACCCGCTGCCTACACTGCAATTTAACAGGAAATATTCAAAATACAGGTTTTTTTTAAATTAAAATATGATTGAAATTAGTTGAGTAATACAGCAATTTCACAACATGTATTGTATCATCAGCACACATATGATGGCAGATTAGACTAATGGCTACGTCACTGCTTCACCTGCCTCTTTCCCATCATTGAAAGCACCATAGAAACCAAACGTTGTACATTAGCTACCAGACTTTAACATCTTCCAAGCAGAACTTCAAAAGACTTTCTTGTGTTTGGTTCTTTTGGTTCGATAAGGACTTTATGCTATAGCAAAGCTATATATTTGGGAAATGTATAAAAGCTTATTTTTTGTTACTTAATTTTTAAAACCAGTTTATTAAACCATATTAAGACAATTCAATTTTGTAGTTTGTTTTTTGTTTTGTTTTTTCACTGGAAAAATCCCCAAAATTGAGAACGAACAATTTTTATGCACACTGCCATTGTGCTTTTTGTGGCAGAACTTTTAAAAACACAAGCCATATCACTTACCTTCTTTTCACCACCCCAAATCATTGCCATGAATTACCTTGCAAATCATGTGTCATAACTCTTGTAATGTGTGTTTAAATCCAAAAATAGCAAAACTAATAGCCTTTTTGAAACCTACATGTAATATTTGAATAAAAAATTAAACAATAGGTGGGTTGCGTCATTCCTAACTAATTCAAATGTTGTGATCGGCACACGCATCGATGATTGCAGAGATTTCTAAGGGTTAATCTGCATGGGTTTATCTGATAAAAAAAACAGTTTTGGGACAAGAAAAAAAAAATCTTGACATTTTTTCATTCTTTGCCAGAGGCTTACATACTCTGTTGGAGAGGAAAGCATATACATGTTTATTTAGTGACTTACAAATGCATCCAAAGAACAGAGTAGTTGAGATTCTCTGATTTACCACAGATACTGTGTAGTATCTGGGTTCACAGCTGTTTGCGTCTTTGCACTTTACCACATCAGCTTACACAAACATTGTTACGAAAAGTTTAATTTACTAAAATTAAATGCCACACCCCTGCCCCGGATCGTTGGCAGTCACAAAACTAAAAATGCAGAATTAGTTAATCTTTTCCCATTAGAAACTTTCTGTTGTTGTTTTCTGGCTTTAGTAAAATAATGTAACATTTTGGCGCAAAGATACAAAACAGAAGCCCAAAGCTAGAAGCCAAAATTGCAAAAATTTCCACCACCACGCTGTACTTTCCTGGTGAGCTGACATAGGCTGGCACAAAGGCAACCCAGACAGCACAGAAGATCAGCATGCTAAAGGTAATGAATTTTGCCTCATTGAAATTATCTGGAAGGTTTCGTGCAAAGAAGGCCAGCAGAAAACATACTGCAGCCAAGAATCCAATATACCCCAGTACACAAGCAAATCCCACTACAGACCCAACTGTGCACTCAAGAATCACCTTTGAACCCTGGATTCCAAAGTCATGGTGAGGTGTAGGTGGACTGACAGAGAGCCAGAAGGCACAGATGACCACTTGAATGCAGGTAAACACCACAACACTTCCTCTCTGCTGTCCCAGTCTGAACCATTTGATGAGAACTGAAGATCCAGGTCTTGCTGAGTGGAATGCAACTAGAACCACAAACGTCTTAACAAGAATGCAGGAGATGCACAGGACAAAGCTAATGCCGAACGCGGCTTGCTGAACTCTGCAGGACCATGCTGATGGTTTGCCTAAAAACACCAGTGAGCACAGGAAGCAGAGTTTGAGAGACAGCAGGAGTAAGAAGCTCAGCTCAGAGTTGTTGGCTTTAACTATTGGAGTGTTCCTGTGATACAGGAAAATAAGAGCAACTGTTGCAGTGATGGCGGCGCCCGAAATGGCAACACCCATTAGCGTGATCCCCATCGTTTCTGTAATGGACAGAAACTCTGTCTCACGAGGCACACATTCATTTCTGTGACTATTAGACCAGAACTCCACGGGACAGCGGTCACATTTTACTGAGTCTGAGGAGAAAAAAAGAGGACCAGCGTTATTTCATGAAACCAGGGGTCATTCAGGGGTCATGAACTGGATTTTTTTTTTACTCTGTTCTGCTGGTGGATGTCTAAATGTGTGGATATTGCAATTTCCACATTCAACAATATAAGAGAAAATTTAGTTTTATAATTTCCATACCCTTTCTTTGGTGTGCAACATGATCGTGAGAACCCCGGCGGAAGAACTCTCTACGCCGGGGGTATTCAACTAAAGTTCAAAGAGGTCCAGTTTTAGAATGTTCTGGGGAAATTTAAAGAGAATTTAAATGGCTATTTTCCCCACTGTGGCAAAATTCCGCCCCTCTCTGCTTCTAATTGGTTGGATTGAAAGCTTCCTCCAATAGGAAGAAGGATTCTGTTTCACTTTCTCCTCTGTCGTGGGTATCTGTCCATCTTTCCGCTGTATCGCACTTTGTTTTAGCTTGCTACATGAAACTGTGAGCAATGTTTTTTTTATTTGTTTCTTTGCAACTGTTATCACTGTCTTTGTTTATTAGTTTCTTCAATCTTTCTCTATATCTGCCTGTACGTCTGAGCCACACAATTACCAGAATCGATTGGTTAAAAGAAGTCATGTGAGGTTGCCTAACTCTCATTCAATTGGCCAATTT